GATGATATCAACTTAATGTTCGTTATTCCATGCCTTAATTTTGTCATGTTCTGTCTGAAATATTATGTCAATAAATACATATCGAACACTTACGCAAATATAAATGAATTAAAAATTTACTCATACAAAATTGTAAACGAAGAAAAAGAGTTCATATCTGTTTTTATATGAGTCAACTTTTACTCCTTAACAGAATATCAATTCGAATACTATAGTCCTATCAACCAAAAGTAGAACTTAAATTTTGACTTTTATTTAAATCTTGTTATTCATTCTGTATTTGATAGACATTAGTATTTATATATGAGTGGTGTATGATTGTATAGTACAACCTATCCTATTGAGCTTATACTATACTAGCTTATACAGCTTATACTATTGATATCGTTTCATTAACGATGAAAAGCAAAGCAATAAAACAAAATAAATAAAAATTGGTTACTTCTTCAACCATCATATTAATTTGATCTTTTACTTGTTTATATTGCACTGCAAATAGATGAATGCTTGACCAATAGAAACAGAATGCCATATACTACTATATTGGAGCATGAAATCCATTAGCTCTTTTCGTTTGTCATAAAATATTGAAGAAGAAAATAATCGGATGATGATGCGAAAAAAGTTTACAGCTTGTCTTATTAAAGTCTCCTAATAGGGCTGTCACACTTCCCGTTACTTGGCAACTGGAAGTCAAAGTAACGCGAAGTGTGATACCCCTACATTCAAAGCCATTTTGTAGTGTTTTTCTGCTCTATCTAACCATATGAACATTCCAAAATTCATCCTTTTATGAACAACCAAATTTTTTTGAGGAGAAAAAGACTTTAATAGGGCAAGCTGCAACTTTCTTCGCATCATCACGACTTTTTTATTAGACTAATGCACTTTCTACACAATCCATTTGCTTTAACGAACATTGTTAGACGACTTTTTCATTAAACAAGTCACAATTCATTCTCCTCTGCGCTTACGAGGGAACATATTTAGGTGATTAAGCCGTTTAGACGCCATCTTTTGGCTATAAGTAGACCTTGATGAGGTTTGAAAAACCTGAAAAGGATTCGTGCGCTCACGCTTTTATTCCCGAGATATCGAATTTTTACTCGAATTTTCCCCATAGGACCTGGATTTCAAGCAAAAACGGAGTTTTGAATTTCATGTTGTAACGTATCACATATTGTAGTCCGATGAAAAAAGGCCGAGCTGAAAACCTCTTTCCGCAACGGTAAAAGAACTTTTTCCATATGAGTACCAAAGGTAAAAACATGGAGCAAATTTTGAAAAAGTTCTTTTACCGTTGCGGAAAGAGGTTTTCAGCTCGGCCTTTTTTCAGCGGACTACAATATGTGATACGTTACAACATGAAATTCAAAACTCCGTTTTTGCTTGAAATCCAGGTCCTATGGGGAAAGTTCGAGTAAAAATTCGATATCTCGGGAATAAAAGCGTGAGCGCACGAATCCTTTTCAGGTTTTTCATACCTCATCAAGGTCTACTTATAGCCAAAAGATGGAGTCTAAACGGCTTAATCACCTAAATATGGTCCCTCGTTAGCTCATTTGCAGTAAAATGAATATAATTTAACAGTAAAAATTTTCTTGCTATGTTGATACTTGTCGGCAAGAAGTGCCGACCATACGAACAAAACTTTTCGTGCTATAGTTTTTTATATGGCAATTTATGAACAGGTTAGTCTAAAATCTGAGAAAATTTTTTTATTGTATATCACATACGGCAATAATTAGATGGAAGAAGAGCATAATTCTATTGTTAGACAGACCAATAAACAGCTTAGTGAGAAACAGAAATGACGACAGAATTTTCTTCTTACTTAATTTTTTATAAAAATTTCTCTCTTGCACTCTTATATACACAAAAAAACATATTTAAGGTTACGTCTTTTCGGTAATAACGTTCATTTTAAGAAAACAAAAATGTCTTCTACCTCTTCTTTTAACGATCTGCCAGATTTATCTTTGCTACAAGTTTTTCGATATTTAAAATCCGGAGAGATCATATGTGCTTTTTATAACTTAAATCAACGTTTAAATTCATTAGTATTAAAACGAAAATATTTACAGAAATTTCATCTATGTAATGTTTCACTATCTATAATTCATTCAGTTTATTACAACATTTTACCTAAAACTGCAGACCACTGCAAATATATACATGCTGATTCATTGTACATCGATGAATTGGATTTACATAATCAGATTAAATTACATCTTGCTGCTATTAACACTGATAGTATAATACGGTATTTTTTTCAACATATAACAGTTTTGTGTCTGTATAACATTCGAAATGTTGATGATTTGAAAGAGATTTTCCAACAGGTGAGTTGAAGATAATCATTTTCTTAATATATTCAGTTTCTTGAAACACATACACTTCGCTCTAATATCAGAAAGACTTGCAATTTAATAATAAGGCAGGTCCATGTATTTTGCGAGTGCTTTCTCCTAACACGATTCGAGCACTATAATGGTGACTCTTAAGTTACGGGGATGCCACTACTTTTGCCGACTACTGTAATACGAAAAAGTTTTGTTCCTAGTAAATTTCGTCAGACAACTCATTAAGAAAATTTTCTACATCTGGTAACGAATGAACAGCGCTGTTATCGAAATTAGAAAACATCATTTTGAAACTTGTACACATTCAGCGTGTCGACCGACCATACAGATAGATGCAAGTACAGATCTATCTGTATCTATTTCTATATGTAGGTATCTAGATAGATAAAAGATAGACTTGTATATATTAGAGTTCTTCGAAAAGCGGCTGTTTCTTTTTAAATAACTTTGAAATAGTGTTAGAGTAGCAAATACTTTCCAGAAATTCATCTTTTATTATGGTATTGCATTCGTAGATTTTGTTAGATGTTGGAAGCGTGTACATCATCTGTAACTACGAGCAGACCTTGTTATCTTGAGACGCATTTTTCTAAGTGCATCTTTCACATTAATAGTTAGAACTTCATTAGAAACAATTAGAATAAACGATTTTCCTGTATAATTTTTTAGTGTCATTTTTCAAATTTAATTGATTTGAAGGTAACGTTGAACAAATTCCATGGAAGTTATTCCTCTAACTCGGTTTTCTTTCAATTGTTGTTATCTTCGTCGTATTCAACCGCAGCAACATTAAGAAGGTGTGATTTAAGAGATTCTACACTGTGTTTTGATAATTGTCCATTATCAACATTAACACCAAATACAAACATTGAAACACTAACGATTACAATTCCTCATTTAAATGATCTCCATTTCATTTTTTATGTGTTTCCAAATTTCAAACAATTATATATTATTTTTGAAAATGGGATTAATCAGATAAATCACCATAATAATGTCGATGTAGTTACACCATTTTTTCCTACATCTTTAGTCGAATTCAAAATAGAATTTTATTCAACCATATTCAATATATTCAAGCAAATAATTGAATATATAAGTGAATGTAAAGTATTAAAGAAATTATCTTTTCTTTATTTGGAGGCTCAAGAAATTGATGGAAACGCTTTTAACGAATTATTTAATCCGTTGGTAACAAAAAATCAAATTGATTTAAAATTTTGTATTTATTTATTTAATTCAGTGAGTGACCTATGCACTATGAAAGAATCATTTCAATCATGGATGCCAAATACAGGTAAGTTAAGAAAAGCTATTGCAGTTAGTCAAATGACTATAAACATATGAGAAATACGTCCGGATGAGAGCGTGCTCAATGATCGCCTGAGATGCTTGTAACCAGGAAAGGTCCCCACGTGTGCAGTCGCCGAATATGACAGGCCTCCAGGGACCGCATTTCTAGAAAACCAGTTTTTCAGAAACTCTAAAAAATAACAAAAGCCTTTCTTAATGAGGCATGATTGTAGCGCGCAAATTTCTGATTAAAATGAGACATCTCCCAGCCATGACCTTTCTTTGCAAAGTTATAGAATTTAGCTGTAGCATTAGGCGACGCTGAACAATTTAGGGCTTTTCTTGTAAATTCTATAACTTTGCAAAGAAAGGTCGTGGAGAGCTGGGAGATGTCTCATTTTAATGAGAAATTTACGGGCTACAAACATGCCTTATTAAGAAAGGCTTTTGTTATTTTTCAGAGTTTCTGCAAAACTGGTTTTCTGAGCCCAAATAGATGTTATATTCGGATTCAGCATAGTCGATTACCTACTGTCCACTAAATTTCGAAAAAAAGCGATTGCACACTTGTAGGCCTTTCGTAAGCTAAGCTCATCTTATAAAGAATGTCTGAAGATGTAAAAATTCAAAGTTTTGGTTTACCTTTGATTCTGAAATAATAAGCAATTTTCTGGAACTGCTAAAAGCAAAAGTTTGGACCCTTAAGTACTGACATGAAAAGTAGAAAGTGTATTTCTCCATAAATACAAGAGATGGAAACGAGAGTTTTTCACCATAAATAATCTATGATGTCTTCTATCTGATGACGTGTGCAGTTGGTTTTTTGCACCTGGTTTATTAAATCAAAAGTCTGAATTTCCAGAAACCCTTGTACGTTCGATTTGTTTGAGTATGTATGCAAGGGATTGCATCTAGGACGAAGGAAAAGAGCTTTAATCTAGTGCATTCCATCACGAGCTGTTCGAATCGATTTTAGAAAGTTTGAGCTTTCAAAACCGTTTCTAAAAAACTCATATGGGTTTTATAGAAAACCCTTTGAGTTTTGAAGGATCGAGTTTTCAAATTAGAAAGCTCTATCTTATGAAAGATAAAGGGCATCATAGACTATTTATGGTCAAAAAGTCTCGTTTCCATCTCTTGTATTTATGGAGACATACACTTCCTACTTTTTCCATGTCAGTACTTTCGTGTCAGGATCCAAAATTTTGCTTTTAGTACTTCCAGAAAATTGCTTATAATTTGGAATCAAAGATTTAATTAAACTAAAACTTTTGAATTTTTACATCTTCAGACATTCTTTATAAGATGAGCATAGCTTAGAAGGATCGGAGATGATCATTGAGCATGTGTGGTCGAGATTCTCGTGCGATGACTTCTATACATTGTTGGAATTTTATGACTTGTTTAGCTGTGAATAATAGACGACCTTACAATACTTATTTCATTTTCACTCTGCCATGGGTGGAAAAGGATTTTTTATTTCATTTTTGTATTGACCAAATTGATTATAATCAACTAACGAATTCAAAATGTTTAAATGGTGTAGAATATTTCACTTTATCCTGTTCATCGCCAATTACCTATTCAAAATTAGCAACTATATTAACTACCTACTACCCATATGTAAGATCACTTCGAATCGATGACGACGACTTTAAATTAATTGATAATGATGGTAGTAATTCCAGTGCTATAATAACAAGAACGATAACGTTGAATAATGTTAAATTTGTGAATTTATCTTATCCAAGTAATCTAACATGGAAGGGTTTTCTCAAGATCTTACGATTAATTCCGAATATAAGTAATTTATATATTCAAGCATCAGATTTATTTGATTTTCCAGCTGTGCTTTATAATACGCCAGCATTTTGCAATAAGATTAAATGTTTAGAATTAAAATTAGAATTAAAATTTACAAAAATAAGTTTAAGTCAAATTGTCATTTACTTCGATAAATTACAACATCTACGGTTATGTTTCTTTAAATATGATTATGATAATGATGATGATACAAGATTAGAATATGATGATAATGATTTAAATTTATTCTGTTTTATACTTATGAAAAGTAAAACATTATTATCAGCTGATATTACAAATTATAATATTGAAATGATACTCACACTCTACAATAAACTGATAAATTTTAGGAGTTATAGTAAACTATCTTCAGCAGTAATTGAAATTGTGCATGATGTGCGTTTAATTGTTCGAAAATAGAATTATAAATCATCATTGAAAATAAATTTCGATTATGACTGGATGATGCTGCGCTTTCGCACGTATTCGGGATTACAGAGCTAGTTTCGATTCTCTTTATACGTATATAAAAAACTGGAACAGCTCAATGAAACTATTAAATCTGGTTGTTTTCTATTCAAGAAAACAATTTGGTAGTCACGAGGCAAGATTTCAAGCTGTTAGAAATCCACACATAATACTAACTTATTTAGGCTGTTTTTATTTCGACAATGATGAAGAGATTTTAAGAAAATTCTTTTTATTCTCGGTTTTTATATTTTCGACAGTTTGCCTTTATGGGGTTTGAAGTTAACAGAGCAGATCGTGTGTTTTACTTTATACACTAAGCTCTACTGATACCATGACAGATGAATCATTGACATTTAACCTGAACCTTTGACGTATGAGCCTAACAAAAAGTAAAAGATGAAAAAAGTAATTTTAATTCTGAAAATCATTAACCACATCAAAAGCTAAATGAAGTCCTTGCTTTGAAACTGAAATGCGTTTTCTTGATGAATGAAAGAATATCATTTTTATGTTATAATGTTCAAAATGAATTGGATACATGTAGAGGGCAAATTGTAAAATTAATAATCCATTGTGCGTTCTTTCCTCTAAAAGTTCAGGTTGTAATCTGGTACGACTTTTTGACTTGCTATCTAGATTTCTTAATCTCATTAATCACGATGTATTAATCTATTAATTAGGTCTAACGTCATGTAAGTTCATTGAGCCTGTTCCTCTTCATTATTTTTCAAGTCAATTTAATTCAAGAGGTAGGCCCATGTTCCTGGACCATCTGGCAGTAATTATCCCACCACTGATATCTAAACGTCTTCAGATTATGCTAACTTGCCTTAAGGAGTCCGGCAGTAAATTTTCTGTTAGATTAGTTCATTCATCAAAAAACAAGAAAACAACCGATAAATTGCTTAAAATTCTATGATTTAGTAAGAGAACTGGAAATAGATGTTTCCACTGAGGAACCGAAAATAGAGTTTCCAAAGTTCTGTAAATGTCAGCTGGACAAGTAAACTCTCTATGAAATCAACAGTTGACAAATGTTTAGAAGATATTTAAAAGTCATATGTTAGACAAACTTTGGACAAAACCTTCTTCTCATGAAACTAACTATAAATACTGTCGATAACATAAGGGAACGTAGAAGTTTTTGAAATGAATCCAGAGAAAATAATAATCGCATCTTGTTTCATGAGAACACACATTGAATTACGAATCAATCCGAAAAATATCATCATAATCAGAACAATAGCAATAAATTTAACAGTGAGTTGCTGTTTTTCGGAGGATGCTACGGTTCACCAACTAACAAACTATTTAATATAATCGCATATTTTGAATAGCGTAAGTTGACATAATAGACCATAATAATACTCCCGACATACACATGTTAATGCCTTCTCCCCGAAAATGTGATCACAGCTTCAATCATGTATACATAAATAGAAAATAACCTGACATAGAGGCATCCTACTTCACTAACTATTCTATAGTAGGTCAAATTCATTGCGTCCGTGCGCTGTCTTGCTCGTAAATCAAGCAAAATTGAAAGTTGCAATCATGTTTCTGCCCTTTTAATTCTACATTCTCTATGTATATAAAACCATTCTACCTTTAAGTAACAAAAATGTATATATTTTACTATATTCAATGAGAGTTATGTATATGAAATGCAGATAGTCATCAATAATGTTTGGTCAATAGCCCTATGAAACATATGGAACATTGAACTGACACAGAAAAATGAATAAATACGACCGTATATGTTTTTTTTGACCGACGCTTAGAAGTTTTTGGATATAGTAGTCTACAATCAACTCTTAGGACGCAAAAATATTAAAAAGTAAATAACAAACTATTCCTGATCGTTTTCACTCGTTATCTTCTCGAGGGAATATACAACCATTTACTTACAAATCGTCCCTGTCCTTTAGTTGCAAAAAAACTTTCATAAAAACATAAAGTGCCCGTAATTCAAACTTCGAGCAGAATTTGTTTTTGACTTAATCATACATATTCTGATCCGTCTTGTCAAGCTGATCACGAATATCACCTTTTGACTTCTTCTAAACCGCATCTTCATGGAGAAAAACTCGGTTTACTGAGATGGTCGCAAAAACCCCAAAATTTTTTGTTTTCAGGAAAAATGCCATAACTTTTTTCGCTTTAGTCGTGTAGCTCTGGAGCAATTACTTTTAGATTTCTTATGTAAAACTGGTTCTAGTAACGATATTCGCAAGTCCTTAAATCTAAAATCCGAATTCTCGCGTAGGCGACAACTCATATGAGTCAAAATCCCAAACCGAATTTGTTGTGTATGATGATGTTTACTTTTTCGATCCTTTTTTGTTTTCTTTTGGTTTCTGCAAGTAAGAAAAGTAAGGTTGACAGAGAAAGCAGGTATAGATAGATTATGATTTTAAAAGATTATAGCTGAATACAAGGTATATTGAGTTACGAAAATAAGTAAGGTGCCCGTAATTCAATTTTAATGGACCACCTCCAAGAGGTCTCTACAAGATCTCCAGATTTTCAGAAGTGTCCACAAAAATTCAGGTTAAAAAACCTAGAGAGTGGTAAGAAAACAGTGAATTCTTCGTTGTTACGTATTTTTTATCCTTTTCTTTCTACATCCTCCATCAAAGCATTCGTTTTTTCGGTTGAGAAAGAATGGTTTCCTTCGTTCGCATTGTGTCACGTCCGCATTCTTGTGTAAATCATCTTTTATCTCTGTGTGTTATTGTGAATAAACCAGTCGCATTTGATATAAGCTTTACTCTGTCAGAATACAAGCGGAAGAATATTCCATTATAGTATTCTAAACTAAAACTATCGAAAATTTTATTCTTTACGAGATCCGTTCCTTTTCTATGCTATTATGAGACAGACGAGAAGAGTGTATCTTCACAGAGTGTTCTTTGTTTTCTCGTTTTCAGTGCATTCACGGTTTTCGATCAGAAGCCGATTGACATCTTTCTCTTAGATTCTTTAATCACTAGTACAGATATAATCGGCTGCTTCCTATGGATCCAAAATCCAGACGTCAAGCACAGCTGTCAGTTATTAATCAAATACGTTTGTCCGGTCAAAGTCTGAACGATGAAAGTGAGGAATCATTAGAAGATGAACAAGGAAAAATGGGCGTTAAAGCTAAACCTGATACTGAGCCGATCAATTTCGGAGACAAAATTATTCTAAACGATCTTATGGATGTCTTCGAATTATGTAAGGCGAAATGTGGTCTAAAACAGCTAAGTTGCCTGCTTTATATGACGCTCCGTCATCTTGGCATTAAATGGAGAGATTGTAATGCCTTTATGACGGAAGTCGGTGCCTTTACAAGTGAAACCGCCCGTAAATGGACGGAACTCTTCATTTCAGGTGATTCTGAAGAGTTTAACAGCGAAAATCGATGCAACAAACAGTTTGGTGATTTTTATGATTATTTTCCTGACATCGAAATTGAAGCGAAACTCTTTACTCTCAATCGCTGTTCCCAAAAAAATGCTGATTTTAATGCTTCTGACTTGGCAAATTTTGTCGATCAGAAATTTTATGAAGTTTCAAACATTACAAAAAGTGCTGATAATGGTCTGATCCGTTCAATTTCTTCTTGCCGATTGGACCTGAGACGTTGGGGAGCGAAATTTGACAAGAATTCACAGAGACCATATTTTGAGGGACATGAACGCAGTGATGTAGTTGAGCATCGAGCTCGATTTATTGATTACTTTCTTGATCGTAAAGATTATTATTACACAATTAGTGAAGGTGACAATCCAAAATGGATCATGCCAACACAACAGCCACCATGTGTACTTTTGTGTAAGTCTTATGGCAGGTCACTGAAGCAGTAGAATATTATCCAGGGTTTTCCTCTACTATTTTAGTTGGTTTAAACTATATTTATTTGAAGATAAAGAAATTCTAATAACCCTCGAACTAAAGCGGCAAATTGCTATTACATAGTTCAAGGAGTTATTTACAAGGTGTTACTCTTTTCCATAAGAAAAACAACAAAAATAAAATAAAACTAAATATAGGTGAAAGACGAGAAAAAAGGCTGCGGGTACC